CATGTATTCATTTTTAGTTCTATTAAAATGAAAACCTTTAGACTCTGATGTAGACCTCCATAATTCAAGTTTTCCCTGAGCTTTTTCTCTCTTCTTATCCACAAGAAGGATATCATTAGCAAAAAAAATACATGAAGGCACATCCTCCTGTAAATATCTAGTAAGGTCATCCATAACTAAAGAAAAAAGATATGGGCTTAAGGCCAATCCCTGATGTAATCCAAAAGAAATAGGAAAATATTTGGTCAATCCTCCTTCAGTTCGAACGCAAGTAACGGCTATAGTATACATATCTTTAATGACTTGAATAGTTGAATGTAAGTCATATCAACTCCTTTCTTCTCAAGAACTCTGCAAAGGATGTCTCTTGATTATCGTAAGCTTTTTCTAAATCAATAAAAATCAAATGTAGATTTTCCTTATTACCTTTGAACTTCTCCATCAAACCTCTCAATAAATGTAGAGCTTCATAGTAGGCCTGCTCGACACAAATCCAAATTGATTATGAGAAACCCTTGTAATACGACTTAACCTATGTTCAGTTACCCTCTCCCATAATTTTAAAGTTTGACACATGAACTTAATTCCTCTATAATTTGCGACTATTGCGCTTCCCCTTTATTTTTATTGATGGGGAAAAAAATACTCTTCGTTCACTTGTCGAGCATCTTTTTAGTTTTTAAAATGATATTAAGAGTATAGTAAGCCAAAAAACTCCCAAATCTCCCAAATATTTCCACACTTCAATTGGGATATCATCAGGTCCCACAGACTGTCCACCCTTTATTTTCTTTAATGTCTTCTCGACTTCTTTTTTACTAATGTGACGGTAAAAATGAAATGTTTTATTATTATTAATGATATTAGGATCACCAAGGTCGATCGTATTTTCATAAATTTCATTTAAAAGTTTATCAAAAATAATATTTTTTTTATTATGTCCCCAATAAATGTATGTTTAGGCATAAAATAAAATAATTATTATTGGCCTGTGATACATAAATAAATAAAAATTCTTAACATGTCCATTTAAAATAATAATAGTAATATTTGTTATGTCGTCAATAAATGTACATTTAAGCATGAACCTTGATGTGATTTGGATAATAGAGCTTTTAACATCGAATGCAAGATCATCTAAGCTATAATGTTAACAAATTTATGGTTAAATTGAGCGCCTCGATAATACAAGTTTAATTACACTGAAAGTGATACAATTCTAGTCTAAATAAGCATAGGTAAAGTTTTTGAAGTGTAATTGAAGGCTTTAGTGCATTAATTGGAAGGCCAAACACTCTTTAAATTTGGTATGCTAATAGTCAATCTAGTAGCTAGATAAGAGAGCTTAAGATTAATTTCAAATTCATTAAGATACTAAAATGCCAAAAAGAAACATATGATTAAGAGAATCAACTTGGACTTTATGGTAGTATTTTGGGATCTTGGCCGAATTTATCAATATATGTCTCTCAAAAACTATAAATAAGCTCTTATTCCCTACAAATAAGTTGGGAGGAGAATATAAGAGCGAGCTAACAACTATGACTTGTCTTGTGGAGAGAAGTGCAAGCGAACAATCACTAGTCATTTCCAATCACCACCCACAATTGTTGCAACCAAGTATAATTAATATAGTTCAACTATGATTGTTGTATCCACCAATTATGGCTCTTATAACCGACTAAAACAGTAGTAACCATCAACTAAAGTTTTTGCAGTCCAATTATGGTTGTTGTAGCCAAACTACCATATAGTTGTGATCATCATTTCTAATCTTATCTCCTCCATTTTAGGTGAAGGGCAGATATATGTATAACTTTTAACTTTCTAGTGGATTACTATGATTGGGCCAGTCTCGTAGTTTTTTTCACATTAAAAGTTGGTTGTCACTTGCATATATATATATATATATATATATATG